TAAAAACCCAACAATAGAACAACTCAAAAGCAGCCTCATTCAGCCTCACACGACCTGCTTCACCTGCCCAGTCCGTTTGTTGGGTCGCAAGACCACCCCTCTCCTCTCTTACTACTCTTTCCAACTAGCGTGTCTGTACCCACAAATCTCCCCTTCTGAATCCGGTTTCAACCCAGTAGATGCAAGCATTTCGGAGCAAGCTCAAATCGGCCCTTTTTCTAGCAAGATCTGCCCTCTCAAAAATTGAGATAATCAACACATATTACCTCTAAAACTACTATGATAACCGCGCGGTAGAGAGTTTATAACGAAATAAGAGAGAACCGAACTAAAGAGCCTGCCTCAGTTCCACAGTGCTAAGCGTTCACATTAAGACAGGCGTGACGTAATCTTCAGACAAGTATCTGGCAATCGGTAGAATCAACCAGGTGGCAGGCGTAATTACTGGTAGTCGCTGGACTCCAATTCCAGTCTGCAATTCGACAGTTTGTTGTGTGTATCAGTTGAACAGCCCACTAATGTGCACAAATGAGAAGGGATCCCCCACAAAAAATACCAACATACATTCACGAAGCTTTGTTCACTTTTATGTCGTTTTGTTCTGCACCATAGCTCGTCTTTTGGGTTTATGCCCCTATTGCCTCCACCAAGGTAAGCATATACTCTCACTCTCCCTCTTCGTCACCTCTAACGCTCGAATGGACCTGCTCCCCTACCCGACCAGGTTCACTTGGGTTAGAAGAAAACGTGATGGTGGCCACAATGATAAGGAACGTAGCCGAATAGATCCAAGGACAAGCTACACGATCAGGAAGATTGTGATGCCAACACCACGAGAAGCATATATCTGGAATGAACGTCAGTAGGGCAGGCGCCACAATTACCGTAATACCAAGGCAAAAGCATATGTCGAGCGCTAGAGCTGGCTTGATGAGCACAATCAGGCGTCAATTGAAAAATACTCTTCGGAGGGTAGACAATCACCTGCGGAAAGCTGACGATCAGGGGGAAGACAGTTGTGTGAGTTGACTAAGGCCGTGATGTTGAAGGTGAGCATCTTGTCAGCTATCATCATAATGACAAAACGCTACTGTTGCTGCGCCGGCTGCATCTCGGCCTGCATTCTTGCTCACTCACATGGCTACGTCGCCTTCACGCCCCCCCTTCTCGACCTGCAGTTTTGCACCGCACATATCGTGGCAGGCCAAGCAGAGGTTGGGTGGGGTACAGAGCAAGGGAAGAGTTCAGGCAGACGTGGAGAGAGAGAGAGAGAGAGAGAGAGAGAGAGAGAGAGAGAGAGAGAGAGAGAGAGAGAGAGAGAGAGAGAGAGAGAG